ACACTAAGTACGAAAAACATCAATGACACTTTTCAAAGAAAGTGTAGTAACTATATCAACAACATGCCTAACTATAAGAATTTGCTCTATCAAAACTTCGTGGTTGTTTATAATTTATATTACTATATCTTACTACAATTGTTATGTCTTCGATGAAGTCCTATATAGCTTAGAGTTTTTTTTGAAATAGTGACAATATGATTGAAATAAAGATAATGGACAACAATAAGACTTGGTAACTACAATGATAATTTTAGTGACCATGATTGTGTCCAATCTATCAATATATTAATTGTGCATAGTAACTATAGTAATATTTGTCTCCATTAGTTCTACTTCGGTAATATTATGAAATAATCTCTAGTTTTTTTACCAGGTAGAGGGGGCACAATTTTTATCTTTAAGTACTAATCTTAAACTTCGGGGTTGGAAGCGGGGGCACTTTCCCCTCTAGGACCCCCCCCAGGTCCTCCACTGTTATGGTCCATGTAACTCATTATGAGTAAAATATTACTACCTCTATCCCATATTGGTTGTCCACTTTCAATTTGACACAATTATTAATAAAGTGATTGAAAAGTAAAAGTTGTGGTTGAGATTTGAGTAGAATAAAGTGAAATGATAATGACCATATATTTCTTGCAAAAAAGGGAAACAAGAAATTCATTTTGGGACAACCTAAAAAAGAAAGTAGGACAACCAAAATGAGACAGATGGAGTATGACTTTTGAAAAACTCGGAAACTTCTTAAATTGAAATGAGTAAAATTTGATTTGTAGTATCGATAATATTCTTAAATTTAAATATTAAACACCTTATTCACTCCCTCATTAGTTGCTTGAACTTTATAATACATTATGTATCTATTAATACAATAACCGAATAAGTTTCATTAAACTACTCCCTTCCTCCCATTTTACCTGTCCTACTTTTCTTTTTGGGTTGTCTCAAAATAAGTGTCTACTTTCCTCTTTTGGAAAGAAATATGTGGTCTACACCATTTCACTTTATTATACTCAAACTTCAACAACAACTTTCACTTTTTCAACCACTTCATTAATAACCGTGCCAAGTCAAACTAAAACACATAAAATGGGATGAAGGTAGTACCATTTATGTACGGGAGTTATATTTCTAGGCTACATTATGCCTAAATCCACGTTTTGCTACGTTATAAAATTAAATTTGGACGCCTTCAAACGTTTTTCTGAGTCGGCCGGTGGTTACAAATGAACAACAAGCTAGCTGGCCTGGCGACTGACTATAATCCAGTAGAACCAACAAGCTTAGAGAGACCAAAAGTGATTCCCATGGCGATTAACCCTCCAATGAATACCCTTAACGTTGACTTCAAAACCGGCACCTTTCCGAGGCGGGCACTCAACACACCAAACGCCACCAACGCCAAGCCGGAAGCCACCACCACCGCCACAAGCCTCACGACGTATTTCCTTATAAACGCCGCCGCCAGCAGCGGCACAGCCGCTCCCACCGTGAAGGACACGGCAGACGTCACGGCTGCCTTCGTCGGACTAGGCAAAGCCTTCTTCTTTTCCACCCACTCCGCCTCATCTCCGCCGCCCTCCGGGAGCCTGTTTTTGCGGTCCCTCTCTATCTGGGCGAGCTCAGTGTCGTACTGAGTGTACACCGAGACGAACTCTCCGAGGGCCATGCTGAGAGCTCCGGCGATCGTGCCGGCTATTCCGGTGAGGACCATGATTTTGACGTCCGCCCGGACGGCGCCGATGCCCATCATAAGGGACGCCGTCGACAGCAGGCCGTCGTTGGAACCTAAGACGGCGGCTCGGAGCCATTGACCTCTTCCGGGGTGGTCGTCCTGGACCGTCGATTGTTTCTCCACGTCAGCAGCTCGTGCCAAATCTGATTGGGTCCTGTTCTCATCCACATTTTCCATTTTATAGATAAATTTGGTTTCTTATGATATGAAAAATGGGCTGAGAATAATGATGGAAGAGTAATAATAATTTTAAGGTATGGAGGACGACACACGCCATGGCATTAATACAGTCTTGGGGAGATGTTGACCTCATAATAATTTACAATTTACTAGGTAGGAGTATGTAATACGTACGAAGTATATGTTTGGTATAATATATAGTCTATTATATTGTGTCATATTCTTTTTTTGTCTCTAATAATGTTCCTTTTTTGAATAAGTTCATTTGGCGGACGTTAACTTGTGAATGAAACAACAGAATAGGATTTTTGGGGAGTACTTTTTAAATAAGGAGTAAAAGATGCGGTATACTCTCCGGGGCGGACTCAGGAAATTTATCTTGGGGACGGTAATTTAAACAAAATATTTTTTGGGAGGACGAAAATTATTTTTCGTATATATATTTATATATACATACACTATTTTTTTTGTTGGAGGGCGGCACTACCGCAGTAGCCCCCTGGATCTCTTCTACGGTCCGCCCCTGTATATTCTAATTTTGTTTAAATAGAAATTGTTTAATACAAGTACTATCGTATATATTTAAAAAAGTAAGACTAAATATATTTATATCATCTCACTTTTACATAGATTAAAAGTAGTAAACATATCTAAACACGAGGTACATATATGCCATTGAATTCATCTCCATTAATTTTAGCAAAACAACTGTAATTGTTCAATGTAGAATCGATCAAAACATAGAGAAAGATTTAATATATGACTATATAGATGTGTTTTATTCTTCAAATACCACTTGTTTAGTTTTATTAAAAGAACAAGTTGATTAAAACAATGGTAATCACCATACATACACACACGAACCTCGTCTTTATTTAATCCATATTTAGAGAATTTTCTCATACTTCTTTTCTATGGGCAAATGTTGTCAAATTAATCGGTGTTGATACTTCTTTTACTTCAAAAGCTTGGTTGGTAAAGCAAAGGGGAGAAATACCTTATTCGCTATACATTAAACATAAGGGAAAATACTTATATATGAGCATAACACATGACACTTTCCTCGATCATTTACAAAACATGATCGACCATGTATGTTTGTATTACCATAATATATATGACTACTATAGAAGGGTTTAAACCATGACATCCGTATATATGAAGAGATGAAATACCAAAATGAATTAATTTTAAAAACAAATCAGCCTAGAGGATATAGTAGAGAGAAAATTAGCTCATATATTGCAATTGTTTTGTGTTATTGCGATTTTTATATGTCTTTTGTCACCGTCAAGTATTGCCTTCTATTAACTCGGTTGGAAATTTCGAAGCGGTCTGCTAGGGTTTCTCGCTCCATGCGGGTTTTATTTTTCTCCGCCTTAGTGTGGAGCAGCAATATGGCAAACAACAGTAGTAAGGAAGGTAGAGGTGGATCTTTGACCAATTTTCAAATCCAGAGGATTGTGTTGGGGTTCTTGAGTGAACGCAGGTATTGTTTAGCAAGAGCAGACCGCCACTTTGGGAGATGCCTTGGCGAAGCAAATTCTGTCCGATGGCAGCAGAATCTCTCACGCCGCAACACCTATTGCACGTTAGGCTCATTTAGACCCATTACAAGATCAACGAGCCATATTGCTTTTTTATGGGTGATTGGTTGCTGATGTATTGGACCGAGTAGATTATGGATATATGGCCGCCTCTCAGTATTCCACCGCATCTACATCCACATCAAGGTCTTCTCAGGCAGTACGACGTGATAAAGTTGTTCTTCAGCCTCGTAACCAACGCAGGCGCCCCTGACCAAGAGAACAGCCACAACCACATGACCTTCATGATGATGATGATCACATTGACTTATGGTATTTGTATTTATATTATTGTGTGAAAGTTGAAACATGCACATGCAGATCGAATCATTTTGTGAAACACCAGATTTATTATAACTTTTATGTGTTATTTCAAGTTTTGTGATTGAAGTTGAATGCGTTTAGGTGTGAAGGAATTGAAGGAATATCCATTCATATATGTAACTATCTTAGTAATGCATCCCATTCATATATTTTGTCTTAGTAAATTAGATGTTTGGTTGTTTGTTTGAGTGGAATGAACTCTGACGAGCAAATTTTCTGGTGATTGCAGGTTTTTTCGTTTAATGTACTGTCTAGGAACTTACTTAACACAAGAGTGGCTTTGGTATTGCGTATAAGAGCCGCCACTTGGAGTGGCTCTTTCCAGCAGTATTTTAGAAATTATTCTTAACCTGACAGTATTTTGGAATTATTTATTTAATTAGCATTATTTCGAGAAAAAATGAGTTTTTTCCCGGAGTAATGCTAATTAAATAAATACTTTCCAAAATACTGTTTGGTTAAAAATAATTCCCAAAATACTGCTGGATTAACCGTGGTTAAGGAAAGCCGCCACTTGAAGTGGCGGCTTTTCACTTGGAGTACAAGAGCGAAACTAAGCACTGCCGAAGACAACCATATATGGTAATGGGTCCCACCCAAATTAAAAATTTGGAAAGACAACCATATACTCCCTCTGTCCCTAAAAGAAGTTCCATTTCGCTTATCGATGGTCTACTTAAATCACTCTTAAACTCTTACTTTTTATATCAAAATTTTATAAAAGTTGAATTATTTTTTGCAGGCTTTGTAGCGGGTTTACTGTAGTTTCTGAATATGTAAATTTTATTTACTAAAAATAATCCGAGTTTTCATAGGGATCATTTAATTTTATCGTCGGTCAACCTTCGTAATCCGCAATTGGAACAACATTTAGGGACGGAGGGAGTATTTAATTAGCATTATTCAGGAAAAAAACTCGGAAAAACTCTCATAAATTTCAACAGAATCCATTAATTAATTCAATTTCAATGTTATCAAGCAGACTTTTCTGGAAAAAAAAGATTGGTGTACACAAAAGTTGTACACAAAAGTGTACAGACAACTCGTTTCCGGACAGACAACTTGTCTGTGGGAGACAGACAAGTGTACAACTTTTGTGTACAACTAGCTCTACTCCTTTTAATATAGGTTATCATTCAACCTAATCTAATCATTTTATTCGGCCCAATGGCCCAGGAATAGCAGACTAGTGTGTAATCCATTGCTAACAACTAACTCGGCCCTACTCACAAATCACAATTGCAGGACTTCAGGCTTAGGGGCGATGGAAGTCTGGAACCGCCGAACAGAGGAGGAGTCGAGCAAAGACTAGAGAGGATCGACTATTCGACCTATCGACATCGAAGAACGGCGAATCGCCTAGTGGCCGACGTAGCCAGCCAGAAACGCTTTACGCTTGGCCGCCTGCCCCTTCTCAGTATTCAGTCTTCTGGTGCGCTGCACGGCTTGGGCTTCTAACCTTCTGTGGACCTACGATTCTGCCCAGCCCCTTCGGCCCTTTCCGCCCTCCTCACTCTCTGGTACTCCTCTTTAGTCTCTTTAACTGTTTTATTGAGTAGTTCATAGTTCATACAATGATGCAGATATACAATCGTACCTCATAGCTGTTGAATGTTGATTAGTTGATTTTGTTTTCTATTGATGTGTTCTGCCCTTGTATGTGTTGCCATTAATTGATTTCTTGAGTAATTCATTTGAGTAGCGATTTAGTTGATTGCTGATAAATGATAAGTTGATTTGTTGTCTATTGATGTTTTCTTCCCTTCTTGATGTTCCCATTCTTTCATTTGTTGATTAATTCAGTTAGGTACCGGTTTAGTTGATTTTGGCATGTTGCTGTTCTGCCTCCGTTAAATTAAGTGATTATTAGTTCATAGTGATTAGGTGATTTGTTTTCTGTCCTAGTAATTTTTCTACAGTTAAAAATAGATTTTGTGTTAATGTCACCCTCTTTCCCATTTTACATGTCCTACTTTTCTTTTTCTTTTTGGGTTGTTCCAAAATAAGCGTCACATTTCCATTTGGTGAAAGAAATAGGTGGTCTACAACATTTCATTTCAATATACTCAAATCTCAACCATAACTTTTACTTTTCAACTACTTTATTAATAATTGTGCCAAACCAAAGTAGGACAAAAAAAATGGGACGAATGTATGATTATTAGTTTGGTCAAATATTTGAGTTATAATTAATTTCTAAATTTAATTAATTTCAATGTGTAATAGAATTGCTTAAAAGCTATGTAGCACGGAAACTCTCGGAAAAGAGTATGTTTTCATTTCGGAAACTATTCAAACAAGCCTTTTTTGGGCCAAAGTTGATGTTTCCTGTTTCCCGTTTCCTCATTACTTTCGCGTTTCCGTGCAACAAGTTAAAAGTTATTTAATGTGATTCTACTTTGTTTAATTTAATGAATTTATGTCTTTTCATTATTATAGTGGTTTTGAAATATTATTATTATGCATGCTAGTTCAGAAAGAAAAGGTATTTATATGTTTTTAAGATTAGGCGCATTGTAAATTATAAGCCCCTAGGAATTAAACTAACAGGACCAGACCTGTGCTTGCTTCTCTAAATGAGCACTACATTTTTTATCAGGGTGACAGAAGGTGGCGGCCTATGTCAATGAGAACCTGTCTTGCTGTTATCCCTGGAGCAGGTGAAGGCATAAGTGCTGTTGATCTAGGTAATCAATAATAGCATTAATGGTTGATGGTTGGTTATTTAGGAAAAATAAAAATGAATCTTCTTTTGTGTGGTTGTTACTCTGAGTAGTGGACACCAAATTGTTGAAGGAAGTTGGTAATGAAGACGTATTGTTGGAAATACTAGCTAGGCTACCAAATAGTCGAAATGCAATTCATGCAGGGTTGGTATGTCACCTTTGGCATTCCATCGTCTCTCAGCAGCAGTTTATTCCCAGGTTCATAGGCCTCTGGGAGCAAAAGAAGAAAGAGCAGCCTTATTCCATCATATTCCGCTTAGTAGATATTTTTGAGAATGTTGGAGATGAGTATTATCAGCCTATTTGCAAACTATTTTCAGAAGAATCCCTGGTTCTCCACGGGGGACTAAAGGAGGAGACGGTGACATCATGTAAAAGTTATCCTCCTTCCGGCGGCGGCAGCATCCAGCTGCCTTCACCCAACATGGTCATAAGAGCGTCTTGCGGTGACTTGCTGCTGATGTCGCAAGGTGCACGCAACTATAGATCTAAGCAACACTTCTATCTCTGTAATCCAGTAACCAAACAGTGGTTCCATCTCCCCCATGTTTATTTTGAAGATTTCGTGACTGGGTTTGCAGTTGTACCCATGCCGCCGCTGCCCCCAGCCCGCAACAGCTGTGGTAGTTATGAATACAAGGTGGTCTTCATTCATTTTCCCCATGATTATGGAGAAGATAATCTTGCTGACAGTTGGAAGTGTAGAACATCAATTTATTGTTCAAAATCAAGAAAATGGAGTGTTAATTCAGGGTTTCGATATCCTGTACCTACTACCAGTAAGACCCCTAGGTTATTCATTTATCCAATCACTTGTAATGGAATTATTTATTGGTTAAATTGCGATGATGTTCCTGATTGCATCATTGCCTGTGATTTGGTGAACAACCCCCACTCTACTGCCTTTATTGACCTTCCCGAAGGCTCTATGCTTGGTGGTGGGGGTGTTATTTCACTAAAGTTGGGCGCTTTCCTGGGGGAACTGAGATTATTCAACGTATTCTGCCCGTCGCCCGTTGACCCGCAACAGCCTCGACATCTTGTTGTTAAAGTTTGGGAGTTGAATTGCAGAACCAATTCCTGGACTCTAGTTTATGACACACGCTTCAATGATAGGCTGCCGCCTAATGGCATCCATGTAGAAGAAGAAGAAAACGAGTTCAAAATCCGTACGGTTGCTTTCCATCCACACAATGGGAACATGGTCTTCCTGGTATGTGGCAGTGGTGTTTTCAAGTATTATATTTCACAGGGTGTGTATGAGAAAGTCGATGAGCTCTGTGGTGTTTTCCGGTATCGTATTTCATATGGTATGTTTCCGGAAGTAGTGGATGAGCTCCATGATTCGGTGCCTCCAAATGAGCTTCTTACGTCCTTTACGCTTCTCCACTCTATCTGGCCCACCACCATGTTGCTCTCTCCTTCCAAATAGTAATAATAGTAATTGTTATTACTATATTTGACTTTGTTACTGTGTGTACACACATATACTTCGTATATTATTGTGAAAGAGTGATGAACATTATTGGTTTTTCACTGTAATCTTGACCATGAGGGTTGTCAACATTTGTCCTGCATTTTTCAGTTTTAAACCCTTTGTCCTTACATTTGGTTGTTCCCCTCCCGCTGCTCCTTTTTTCTTGTGCTCACTCTTTCTTTATAACAAATTGGAATATAGAAATATTGGAGAAGCATCTGTCACTATCTGATTTTTTTCATCCTTTGTGATTGCATTAGACTATGTGATCCTAGTATATGCTTGAAAGAAGTCATCCATTGCATGTCATCATTTCAATAAAATAAAGCATTATAATTGAAATTCTAGTAAATGTGATCTCTAGAATGAGTTTGTTCGTTGCTGCAATATTTAACAACAGAGTTTCTCTCACTGAATAATTAACAATTCTCATTGTGAGTGTGTTCATATCATCATATGAGTTGCATCAAATTTCTTACTTTGTTTCTTAGCTTTAGTAAGTTTTTTACTTTTTTTTGGTTGCTAAAACAGAACTACAGTTTTCTGTTTTAACAACATATATCAAACATTAATTACTTCTTTCTCTTTATATCAATGTGTTCTTATTGCGTCAAATTTTATATGTGGTGGGGTGACTGTTTTAGGTTTTAATATTCAATCGACTTTCTTTTGTTTATAACTTTATACGGTAAAAAACAATGGTCTGGACTCTGGAGTATATAAATCATTCTCTAGGCATATATGGATTTGAATAATTGTTGACAAAGTGATACGTAATTCTCTTACAATGCCTAATTTACTAGTCATACACACCAATTTAGCTATTAATAAATATATACTCCATAATCCATATCATTTAGAAAACCATTTGACCCTTAATGTAATCAAAGATCATAAATTTATACCTATTACAGTGATTTTACTACAATCACAAAATTTATATTAATGTTAATCATGCACAAGTCTCTAAATATATACGTAGTAATACGTAATACTCCTCGTATATAATAATAGTATTAATATGTATCATATTTGTAAGGATCGGATTCCGTCTCCGGCTCAGGTCTTTCAACACACACTACTCACATACACCACTCTAGGGGAAGCTATAGCACACCTATTCTCTTTACTCTCTTCTTCTAACCACAAAGGAACTCACAAAGAGGAAGAAGGAAGACACTGCTCTCAGTTTGTTTCTCACGCAGGCTTAATTCACAAAGGCAAGGAAGAGTGTTGACTTATAGTAGGCTGCCAGCCTATGGGCAGACAACAAGGACAGTCACAAGGTGGTAAGGACACTCACGGGTATAAGCTAAGCCAAAAAACAGGTTGCAGCGGACAGAAGCAATGGGGTAGCAAACCAGGTATATAATTGATCAGGTAATATACCAAGGTAAAGGTGTCAAAGAGGGAGTAAATTAATAGGGTGCAAGCCTCAGCTAATAAAGTGGAAGGGAGGCCTTGGTAGGACCAATACCTCCAACATTCTCCACCTTATTGGTCCTAGGTGGTGTAGAGTAACAAAACAAAGTTGTGACAAGACTCATCATCGTCGGGTCACCCGGAATATCAACAGACACAACGGGCAAACACTTTATTAGGCAGCCCACAGTTATCCACAATCAAAGTTTAACACGCGTTTACAGGACAAGTGCTTCTCAGCAGAAAGACACTTGGTACCCATATCTGCGGGGTTAAACTCGGACGGGATCTTGCACAGCTTGACTCCACCTGCATCAACAATATCACGTATGAAATGGAACCTAACATCAATATGCTTAGTTCTATCATGAAATACAGGATTTTTGCAAAGTTGGATAGCCGATTGGCTATCCGAGAAAATGGTAACTCCCTTTTTGAGAAACCCAATTTCGGAGACAAGGCGTTTGAGCCAGATGGCTTCCTTAAACGCTTCTGTGGCTGCAACATACTCGGACTCAGTGGTAGAAAGGGCCACAATAGGCTGTAGTTGAGACTTCCAACTAATGCAAGAGCCACACAAAGTAAAAACATAAGAAGTGGTCGACTTCCTGTTATCTCTATCATTTGCATAGTTAGAATCAACATAACCAATCAATTCAATACCACTAGCACATTTAGAGAAAATTAATCCATGCTTCACAGTAGAAATCAGATATCTAAGCAACCACTTAAGAGCATTCCAATGGGGCAAACCAGGGTTGGACATATATCTACTCAAGCAACTAACCGCATATGCAATATCAGGTCTAGTGCTAACCATAAGATACATCACCGACCCTATTGCGCTGGAATAAGGCACAGATTTCATTTTCTCAATTTCAGGAGCAGTCTTGGGGGACTGGTCCTTACTTAACACAAAGTGAGATGCCATAGGGACATTAACAGGAGAAGCAGATAACATATTAAATTTACTCAAAACTTTTTCTATGTAAGAAATCTGATTCAAAGTAAGAGTACGCTTACTCCTATCCCTAACAATGTTTATGCCTAGGATCCTCTTGGCATCACCTAGGTCTTTCATGGCAAAATTCGCACAAAGACATTTCTGCACATCTTTAATAGCATTCAGAGAAGGACTAATTATCAGCATGTCATCCACATAGAGTAACAAAAATACAGGCACAGAAGAAGTATTTTTGAAATACAGGCAATGATCACAAACAGATTTCTGGAACTTCAAAGATATCATGCATTTATCAAATTTGATGTTCCACTGCCTAGGGGATTGCTTCAGGCCATACAAAGCCTTCCTAAGCAAACAGACATGCTCACTTCTCTTGGGATCCACAAAGCCCTCAGGCTGGGTCATATAAATTGTTTTGTCCAATTCACCATGCAAAAATGCAGTAGTTACATCCATCTGTTTCATTTCCCAGTCATGGTGAGCAACTAAAGCAAGCATCATACGAATAGTGGTGAATTTAACAACAGGAGCAAAGATTTCTGCATAATCTACCCCCTCTTTTTGAGTAAACCCCTTCGCAACCAACCTAGCCTTAAACCTAACATCACTAGGTTCTTCCTTAACCTTAAACAACCACTTACACTCAACTACCGAACAGTTGGGGGGTCTAGGTACAAGGGTCCAGGTCTGGTTCACTCTCAAAGAGTCCATCTCACTTTTCATGGCACTAATCCATTTCTGAGACTCTTTGGAACCTAAGGCTTCACGGTAGGTCTTGGGTTCATTCAGCTCTAGGGATTCAAACACAGAAAATGCAAACATAGAAGTATCATGCACAATGAAAGCATAATCAGGCATACTATCAGCAGTTCTCCTGATAGCCCTTCTACTCCTATCTCTAGCAAGTTGATAATCATGCAAATTATCACTACTAGGCTCCACATGCAACTCATGCAAATTATTGTTATCATGAAAATCAGATTCAGCACCCATATCATGCAAATCATGCTCAGCATCATGCAAATGCTCCACCTCACTCGAGGTGGTGGGACTATCATGCTCAGAGGAATCAGAATCATGCATAACAATATCATCAGTAATAACAGGATCAACAGATAAAGGACTAGCAGCAACAGGGACAGACTCCACCTCACTAGGAGTACTATCAGACCTAGACTCAAGATTAGAAGCAGACTCGGTCAAGCAAGGAAAATCAGTTTCATTGAACACCACATTTCTGCTAAGGACCACTTTAAAGCCTACCTGGTTCCTATCCCATAACCTGTAACCCTTTACCCCCTCTGGATAACCTAGGAAGACACACTTCTTAGACCTAGGATCCAACTTGTCACCCTGTTGGTGTGCATACGCTGCACAACCAAACACCCGAAGGTTAGACAGATCAAGAGGCTTACCGGTAAAGACGGCTTCAGGACATTTACCACCAAGAGGGACAGACGGGGACCTATTAACCAAATAGGCAGCAGTAGTGACTGCTTCACCCCAGAATTTCTTAGACAAACCAGAGGTAGCTAACATGCTTCTAACCTTATCCAACAGAGACCTATTCATTCTCTCTGCTATCCCATTCTGTTGGGGAGTATAAGGCACAGTTTTGTGCCTTCTTATCCCACAATCCACACACAGCTTATCCATCTCCTTATTACAGAACTCTAACCCGTTATCAGTCCTAAGGGTTTTAACCTTCCTGCCAGTTTGGTTTTCAACTAGGGTTTTCCACTCCCTAAACCTCACAAACACATCAGACTTGTGTTCTAAAAGGCAAACCCACACCTTCCTAGAGAAATCATCAATGATAGAAAGGAAATATTTCCTACCCCCGTGGGTAGGAACACTGGCAGGACCCCAAACATCGGCGTGAACATATTCAAGCACAGACGAACACTTAGACAAATTAGGGTAAGAGGAAGGAGGGAAGCTGACTCTATGCTGCTTGCCTAAAACACATGATTCACAGAAAGGCACAGAAGTCACAGAGTCCTTACCAAAATAACCAGCCCTACGCATGACATCTAAACCCTTATTGCTCATATGTCCTAGCCTATTGTGCCACAAAGAGGTCTTATCAGAACATACAACATTCACAGACTCAGTAAAAGGTTTAGCATGACACACATAAAGGTTATTCACCTTCTCAGCTTTAAACAAAACAAGCGAGTTTTTCAGGATTTTCATACAACCATTCCCCCATTTTCCCTGTAACCCACTACTCTCCAAAGCAGCAACAGATAACAAGTTATGACACAAATCAGGGACATGCCTCACATTCTTAATGGTAAACACAGAGCCACAAGAAAATTTCAGACATATATCACCAACACCAAGCACATTGCATCTCTTATTATCAGCTAAGGAAACATAGCCACTATCACATAACTCATATGTAGAAAACAAATCTCTAAAGGGGGACATGTGATAGGTACAACCAGAGTCAATCAACCATTCATGCTCAGACAGGGAATTTCTCACAGAATTAACATGGTCACAAACCATCAAGATATCACCAAGGTCACATTTATCAACAGCTACACTAGCATGCTCGGTCTTCTTAGGGTGGGGGCAATCCTTAATGAAATGGCCAGTGTTACCACAATTGTAACACACTCTCTTCCTAGATTTGCTCCTCTTCCTCCCAGGCTGACTAGTGTTCTTACCCTGACTATTTTGCTTAGGGTTCTTAGACCTACCCTTAGATCTACCCCTAACAAACATAGCCTCACCGGAGTCCCTGGACTGACTAGCACTACCCCTAGCATGCTTCAGGTCTAATTCCTTACTCCTTAACCCATTCACAACAATGTCTAACGAAA